GACATGTGTGCGGTGCAAATACTGCTTCTCCTCTCTATTTGGGATTATCCACTGGAAAATATAAATTAATGAACTAATAATTATGTATGAAACGTCTCTCAGTTTCTCTCTATGAAGCTTGAAGCTGTAAATGAAAGAGTGAACCCCGGCATTGAAGGATTTCCTTTGAAAGAAGTAAGTTCTAGAGACCCTATTGTCATTTTCTCAAATTTCATTGGATTTTGGTTACTTTTAGTTTCAGTCAGTAATTACACCCAGCTAAATCTGTTGGGGGTGAATGTTTTTTTTTTTAGTCAAGAAGATTGTTTCTATGTAGTTAGGTTTTACTACTATCATATTATTATAACTTGTTCAATGTGAAACTGTCGAGAAAAATGGGTGACTTGTGTGTAAATATTTATCAATTAACATAATCAATTAAATAAATAAACATAATTCAACAATAATATGAATATAAAAAGAGAAGAGCTAGAAATGCAAGACTTAGAGAGTTACGTCAAGAATGTTATCGTAAAGTCTTGTTGACTCCCCTTTGTGGGGGTGTTTTCTGCACTACCCGGTTCCAAAATAAAAATTCACATGACTCACGTTCGGTTTTTCTTCTATGGATTCGATCACAGCAAGACAAAGAATGAGCCCGTATTGAGTTGCCAAAAATATATAGATAGAATGTATATGGAGGATTTTTTTGTGTATTCAAGTTGTACCTCAAGTTATATAACAAGTTGTATGAAAATCAATCCCTTTCATAGGGAAAATTTCAACCCCTACATTCATAGAAATAAATCCAATTTATATAAAAGTTACACTATAGCATTAAGTGGTTTTAATTTTTGTTAAAACTGAAAATTAAATGGTTGACAGATTAAAACTTATTTTATATTTTACAACAATCCCCCACAAGTTCTAAACTTTCAAAATAAATAAAAATATATAGCCCTTGTTTGAGCCCCATTTTCCCAAAATTCATTTTTTGTAACTCATTTTCAACTATACACTCTCACAATAAAATAATTTTACATGTAAATTTAAAACTTTTCCTTACTTTTTAATCACATTCTTCAAAAAATCACTATTCCAAATTCTATCACCCAAAAAAAGGGGCTCAAACAAGGGTATAATATATATAGTGGCAACGTTATACTGTGTAATAGGGTAGGTGTCTTTTGGGTTTGAACCTCATTTAGTGATAATAATTTCTATTTGAGGGAGCCATAATGGACTAAACTTTGAATTATGTCTCTTTGGCCAAAATTCAATTGTTGTACACAGGATCGATTTAGACTCTAGTTTATAGCGGCTAGCGCTTTAATCTTGATTCTAGTAAGAGTTTCTAGGAAATAGCTTAATCCTGCAGCCACGACTTCATGACAACTCTTACATAGGTGAGTCCTCCAAGGGTGCGTGTGACCTATACCTTGCCAGAATTCTCATCTCGATACTCATTCAGAGTTAAATCCTTTCTAACATCACATTTATTAGCACTATTACCAAATGGATGAGCACATTATAAGTGCTATTGCATGTTACACAGTGCGGGTTGTTTTTACCACAATGAACCTTCTTTATGGGATCTCCAATCACAAAAGTTGGGTTACTCCCAGAGGTAACTCTGTTATGGACTTATGCCCATCCCTCTTGATGATTTATTATGCCCATTACAGACTATAATATATTTCATATCACTCTTGGACAATAATTTGATAACGTCAATTTGCATAGCTCTTATTCTCCGCTAGCACATCTGCATGTCATCTAAGAACTTTCCAAATATTTTACGTATAAGGATAATAAAATATATAAGATGCACATATCTTAAATTTTAAATACCTCCACATTTGAAAGATATCCAACTTGTAGCACTTCTTTGCCACATGGCCTTCCTCATGCATGTAGGATAGGATATCACTCACTGTGGAGGAGGAAAATGTCATCTAATACATGATGTGAAATTTAATATATATGACTATTGATCAAAATTATTTAAATACTTTATCACTTAATCTATTTGACAATACCTTTATGAGTCTAATGATTATATTAGTCCAAATATAAATATTTACAATTTCTCCTACTTGGACAGCATAATCGAACACAATGATGTTTATGTATCACAAAATATTGGACAATATTCTTTAACATAATCATGAAGTATCAAATATGGTTTAACATGCATTTGAAGAATTATGTCAATGTATTTAAAATTCTTATGTTAACTTACCTTATTTGATATTCCAAAATATATCAAGACATGTAACTTCCACAGACAATTATACGCTCACTCACCAAAAATTGAATAATGTAAAGCCAACCAGTTCTCAAAATAATCAAGCTTTCAAATTTTTATCTTTTTTCGTAATGAAATTAACGGTATGATGATAGTTATATGTAAATCCTATCAAAATAAAGATCAATGGAGATGATACCTAAATTTTTCCAGCTTATAGTGCATATAATTTTATAACCACAATTATTTGAGAATCGGTTACAACATATATATAATGTTTATAATATAAAACTTCTCTTTGAAATATTATTATCGTAACTTTTATTGCCAATTGATTAAAATAATTTTTTTAGATTGATAGCAATTATGTTGTAGCATAATTTATTCAACGAGTTTCCATTTCCACCCATATGCATGTAGGTTATTTTAGAATATCACTGGCAAACTGATAACATGATCAATTATTTACCATGGAGTTAATAAAATTATTACCACAGCATTACCAAAATTTCTAACACTAAACAATTTCATTGCAATCTTCATTGGATGTAGATGTACCTTTTTTCACTGTTATTTATTCTTCAACTTGATTTTGAAGAAAACAGTAAATCTATTTATTTTTCAAAATTGAAAACAAGATACTTAGCCCTTTTTAGAGGGAGAATGCATTTTGAATTGTAGATTGATGGAGAATTCGTTGTTAAAAATTAAGGAAAAGTTTTGAATTTGTGTGTAATATTATTTTATTGAAAAATATGTGGTTAAAAATGAGTTTTCAAAAAATGAATTTTTAGAAGAATGGACTCAAACAAGGGTTTAATTGATACTAATGTTGACAAATGAACCAAATATATTTAAGGAAACACTGAACTAAACATTTTTATGTCACTGTATGATACGCATTAAAACAAATTCAATAAATAAAATTAGTATAAAACATCAAGACTTATAGAAGAAGCTTTATAAAAATATACAGTAACCTTGGTCAAATCAAGGCTTCAGAAGATTATCTTATGATATCTCAGAGTTTTGTATGTATAAATTAGGGAACATTTCTACTATTGCACTCTGTTTCCTGGACTTTTGTACTACAAATGTAAATGCTGCTGAGTAACAGTAGTACTACATTTAACAGGCATGAGAAAAGTTGCAAGGCGAATGCTGATGGTATAAACCTCTTCATGCTATCCTACAACTTTGAAAACTTCTAATGGGTTCATGCTTTCATCCTAATTATTCGTATCAAACAAAGAAAAGATTAACTCAAGTTGTTCAAATAGGTATAGGAAATCAAGATTATGAATTGTCAGTCCATGGATCTATTGTGGGGTCAACGTGTTTTAAATTCTCAGCTAGCTAAAGAAAATAATTGTTGATTATTTGTAAGTACGCTCCCACGGGTGGGTTTGTTAATGTTCGGGCCTAAAAATCAGTATCATGAAACTAAGTGGAAAAGTAAAACACACACAATGACTTTACCCATCAAAGATCGCAACAAGATTTGGCTACATGCAAATCACTAACACAACTTTAGATTGTTAGGAAAAATGAATGATTTATGTGTAGATATTTATCAATTAACATAATCAACTAAATAACATAAACATAATTCAACGATGATATAAACATAAAAGAGAAGAGTTAGAAATGCAAGCCTTAGGGAGTTACGTTAAAGATGCTGTTCTAAAGTCGTGTTGCCTCACCTTCGTACAGGTACTTTTGGCACTATACGGTTCTCCTTCTATGGGCATGATCGTAGGAAGATAAATAACGAGCCTTTATTGAGTTATCAAAAATATATAAATAGAATTATATGGAAGATTTTTTGTGTATTCAATTTGTGTCTTAATTTATATATCAGGTTGTTTTAAAATCAATCCCTTTTATAGGGAAAATTTCAACTCCCACATTCATGGAAATAAATCCAATTTATATACAAGTTACACTATAGCATTAAGGGGTTTAAATTTTTGTTAAAGCTGAAAATTAAATGGTTGAAAGATTATAACTTATTTTATATTTTACGACAGAAACTAGTCAACTACAGACACATAGTTGGATGAGTCCGTGCACTATTTGAGGTTGCCTGCTTTTCTTGGGACAAAAACGTTCAACTGAGACGGCATCATTTCCTAGGATTAGGAGTAGCTACTCTCCCGAAATTATATGTAATATCAAAATAAAAACTCGAATAGAGAAGGACAGTTCCAGAATTCAGATCATAGAATTGAAAACTTGACAAAGAAGTTAGAAAAGGGATGATGTAATTTCTATAAAATTTCTTCAATGTATACATCCGTCTTCTACCATCTCTTATTGCGGAAATGTGTTTCGATTTTGCAGTTTGCGCAGCAAACCTTTGATTCTCTGGGCATGACATTTGGCTCACAAGCTTCAAGGGAATACGATAGGGTTGCATCGCCAGAATGGCTACATATGCAGATTGGCGGCGGGTTTGAAAGAACGTCGTGAGTTAATAATTCTTATCAATTGCCAATAAAAGCATTGACAAATATTCATTAACTGCAGAATTGTACTCATTTCTTGAATCAGAAGTATATTTTATTTCCATTTCTATCTGGTTTGAGCTTTTGTGTCAGAACATTCTCCCTTACGTGTAAGGGAAAATGGATACAATTGTAACATGCTTCATTATTTTTGTTCGGTATGAAAAAATAATTGCTCTGCGGTTTGCTTGGTAGTCGATTGTACAATATTGGACAATTTTAGATAATAAAAATTCGCTAAAATCTTTTTTATATTGTTGTCTTGGTGAATGTTTTTGTATAGATATATGCTTGTATATCTTTGTCTATTTCATACATTTTTGCAAAGTGAAAGTATCGAGAGCTGAAGGTTCCAGGAATAAAATTCAAGGTTCTGTTACATATTTGAGTAATTACATTGAATTGATTTTGATTTTATTAATGGTTGGAAGATTTTTCCCTTTTTTGAAAACTAGGCTAAAGCATGCAAGTTCTTTGATTGGTGACTGTGTGTCTACTTTTCGGCACTCAATTGAGGATTATTTGAATGAATAATTCTTCAATAATCCTTCATGAATCTTACTTCTTCAAAACCTTACATTAGGGTCTAATTATAGTATGATGGAAGCCCCCTTATTTAGTATAATTATCGTCAATTTTTGAGATAGTGGATCTCTTAATTTATTATTCAATACATTAAAATATGTCACAATTCAATTGAACATTGAATCAGGGGATCCATTGTTACTTAGATGAATCATGATCTTACTAATGATAAATAACAATACTCCATTTTTGTGAGAAATCGTTAATAACAGATTGATTATGTGATCCATGAGGTATTGTCAGTCAACTTTCTCGAGAAGATTAGTGGCATAATTCTGAGCATAGGCTTGAGGATGCTTGTTGGCTCATAAACCATTTGGGATCTCTTCGACACGGAGGAGGCTTGTTCATTCGATCATATTCCATCAACCTAAACTTTCTTTGTTTCTCGTCAAATTTTAAACTTGTATTTGTATTTGTGAGTGATTGGATCATAAACTATGAGCTAACCAGATCAACTTTTAGTTAAACTAATTATTGATAACAAGATATTTTATTCTTAGTCTAGATCCAATTTAGAACAAACTTCGAATTGCAAATTATTCTAGTAAAATTAAGTTCACATGGAGCTTTGAATAAATTTTTTCTACTAAATATTCATAATCTCCAAGTCAAACATTTCGCTAGTAGTTTCAACAGTAAATGTTTAACAGTTAAACCATGATTTATTAACCAGACTACGCCGAGTCGTCCAATGGCCGTTCAGCTTTGTGCGTAAATTCCCCACTCTCCTTCGTACACGTGAACACCAAAAATCAGTCAAACCCGTTTCAACTCCACGGCCACATGACCCCACGCTCCAAATCACGCTTGGGGAAGATACTGTAACAGGTAAATATTTCACGCGGATTAAATTAACGTATAAAACGAGGTTCCAATTGAATTGGAAAAAGTACCCCTGCATTCCCTCAACCATCAAATTACGAAGCCAATTATTTTTTTTTATTTCTTCGTATTGTAAAATTCCGCTGAATTGAGTTTAGTTTCTTTGATATCTCTGAAAATTGTTGAATTTTTTTGGTGTTTCGATCCGGTGCGATCGGGAAAAGTGTTAGGAGAGGAGGATGTCAGGATGGAGGGGATCTAGATTTGGGGGTGGCGGAGGAGGAGGAGGAGTCGGCGGTGAGTGTCCGACGGCGGAGCATATTTCGTCTTCTCGAACAGTCCGGTTAGGGAAGGTCCAGCCACAGGCACCGGGTCATCGAACAGTGTTTTGTAATGATCGCGAAGCCAACGCCCTCACCAAATTCAAGGTCCTTATAATTATTTGGTTTTCATTTATTATGTTGCAATTTTGTTTGCTTAGCAGTCTTTTAAGTTTTGGGTTTATTTTGGTCTTAAGCGATGCAATGGAATGGGCAGTGGTTATGTGCATCGTGTACTGGAATCTAATTTAATTTGGGGTGGGGGTTGATATTTTTTTCCCTTACTCCTTGAGGTTTATCTAAGGGTTTAAGTTTGTTTTGGATAATGAGCTGATAATGTTACTAGTCATCCTTTTAATGATTTTATTTTGTTACGTTCTATTTCTGTTTTAGTTTTTTTAATTGTTGAAAGAGATTTTATTGGTTTAAGAATTAAGATGCTTGCATTTCTGATTCTTGTCAGATTTATGTACGGTTAAGGAACTTCAATGCCAAATGTTAGGCCCGGGAGAAGGGTTGAGTTCGCCATGTAGAATTTACAGGAATTTTGATTATCAGAATAAAATGAATTTAGTTTTGGATTCGAGTAATGTCGTTTCGAGTTTCCTGCAGTAAATGTGTACGGACTGAGGACACTATTCGACGGTTAGCGACTGTTATGAAATGTGGGTCCATGCATTCAATTGTTAATTTTTATTAAAGGTTTTCAATTTAAATGTTGTATTAAAGCTTGCAATTGTTGATTCCAAAGAAAAATAAAGAATGTTTTACCTCGTCGATTAGAATATTTTTAGAAACAACTTGATAAAGTATTGTAGCATCTATCTAGGAAAATAAAAAGACGAAAGAAAGCATAATGAAGCAATTTAACCTAATTACAGTAAACTTGGGGTTGAATCTTTCCAGAAACCGAAAGGGCATGAACAGAATAATTATGAAAAAGGCTCTGAGGATTACAGAGGTGGTTTTTATAGCCACACATGAATAATAAGTAGTAAAAATATTCAATTTTCCTCTTCACATTAGACAGATGAATGTGGAGAAATAATATCATGATTTAGATGAATGTAAGTAGTGATGTCTCGTAAGACATTTTTAAAATGGAGAAGAAAATTAAAGATAACTGAAAAGTATAACAACGGTTAATGCGAAAAACAAAACAGAAAGGAGAGAGCTGATTTCTATAGCTTGAAGTTTTAAAGAGAAGTTAAAAAGAAGATAATAGAAATATAAAAAATGGATCCTGGGATTAATACCATTGAGTTGCCATAGTGGGCGTTGTTTTTTGTTTAAATCATATGTAAATGAGAATGTAAATGTAAATGTTTGAGTACAAGAGTGAGCTATACAATTAGTTGAGAGGATGGACAATAGGCACATGATCTAAATAAATCTCATGAGGATTTTCCATTTTCTTTTCAAGAAAGATGATGGTGTTTTATTTGCTCCGAAAAAAAAAATTCTTTTTGACCACGTGTTATGCCTCTAGGATAGCATTACTTCACGCTGTCTTTTTAAGAATACTTTTCATTAAAGGTTCAACCGTGTAAATATGTTGTTTTGCTAATTTTGTGCCAAACAACTTTTACTCATTGAGAAGAACTGGGTCTTGATTGATCTCCTAATAATCTTTCAGGGCAATTCTGTGTCAACAACAAAGTACGACGTGTTTACATTTTTACCAAAGGGGTTATTTGAACAGGTAACATTTTTGTTACTCCATGTGTGTGAAAGTGTGAAATTTGCTGTTGAACTTCAACTCTTGGTACATTTACGTGTGTTACTATTTGCTTAGCGATGGAATCAACATGAAGTATCCTTTCTTTAGGGTGGAGTTCTTTTTGGCTTAAGATTTCATCACTTTTATTTTATTGGATAGTGCATTGTGACTGCAGTATTGGATTACAGGGATGCTTGCTGGAAATCTGGTTTTTTGGAAACTTGAAGTCCTTAACAAATTAAGAATATGATCCATCATAGGAAATGTAGGAAGAATAATTATTTTATCTTAATACTAGGGACTTGTGGCCAGGTTTATATTGAAATTTGTAATTTAGTGCATATTTGGTGGGAGGTGTAAAGGAGAGGGAATAAAGGTAATGTCATGGATCTCGACTAGTTTCTCGAGGTGTTGGAAATCCAAAGTGGCTCAGAGAATCACTAGCGCCTTTGGCGCTGCCAACAAAGAAGTCATCCTCGACAGCTTTCCATTCCTTCCTTGCTGAGCCGCCTCTCTTCGCCATGGGACTATGAAATTATAATCCAGTTGATCAAATAGACTTTTAAGTCACACCTTTCGTAAGACTCACAACTACTATCTTCTTATTATTAATACATTCCACAGGATCAACAACTTATAAAAACTATGATACACAAACACTCCTATTTGCTGGGCATGTCCAATGTTCGAAAAGAGTGTTCGTCACCGACACTCTAAGTTACGTACTATATGTATTTTCCTTTCCTATAATGTAATATATAGTTTAACCCCAAAATTCTTTTAATATAACAAATAGTCACTTATCTGATTAAAAAAATTTCATATACAAAAATCAAAGCAAAGAAAAGAATTAATCTTATCAAAAGATAGAATGTTCAAGCTTAAAGATCGAATACGTAAATTTATATATTAAAGTTTAAATTAGCATGTCCCGATGTTTCCATCTCCTACCTTTTTTAAAAATCACGTGTCAGCATGTCCGTGTCACGTGTTTATATTTTTATAATCTCTTAAATTTAAATTTAATCACTGCCCAAAGACGCAGTTAATGTATTTGGAAAAAATAAATAAAGAATGTTACATGTTTCTATTCGTGAAAGAGGAGAAAAATAATGAAACTTCTTAATGCTTTCCCACCCTTTATGCTTGGTGGAAGTTAGGTAAGTTGTGTTTTCCATGTATAGTTGTTTATGATGTTTTAAATTAAGTTTCTAACAGAATTCTAAACAATTGGAAGCCTCTAGGGCATTGTAGTAGGTAGTTTAGAGTTAAGTTTGTTTCCGTACTCTGCGTAATGAACGAACGTAGTTAGAATAAGAAAGGTGTATAGTATGATTTTTGCTTTCCTTCTCATTTAGCTTTTTTCATCCTTCTATTTCTTTTTGATTTACCTGATAATCCTTTATTGTTTGTATTTACGTTGACAGTTCAGGCGGGTCGCTAACCTCTATTTTCTCATGATCTCAATCTTGTCATGCACACCAGTGAGGTAAACTAGCTCATTTGAGGAAAAAGAAACGATAATTGGCATAATCTTAATTTCTTGACAATTGTTTGTTTGAATTTGAATTTGTGAACTTATTAGTTAATTGAATGGAAAATACATACCAGAAAGTGATAGGGTAATTACATAGAATGGCACCATATAGTTGTATGGTAAATTTTGTATTAAAAACCAGAAAAGTAGGGATGGAGAATGATATATGGCTATGGATTAATCACTCCTTTTTATAGGTAGATGTGGGGACTTTTTCCATAGATATTGTGTAAAAGAAATGGAATGATCTGGCATTTTTGTGGCT